AAAGCTAAATAACAAGCAAGAAGTAGAAGAAGCCATATAGCTAAGACTTAAAAAAGCACAATTAGACCTAGGAAGCTGCAGATGCATATTGAAACTAGAAGAAAAAGAATTAAACAAAGCAAAGTTACAGAACAATCTAAACTTGCAGATCTTAAAAGAGGCTAAAAAGTTAGAAATCCTATACAGATTCAAAGAAATCAAAAAAATACTAAAATTAGCAGAAAAAGGAACTGAAATCGCAAACATACTAGAAGAAAAAGAAAAATAGAAGTTTCTTCAATATAGGAAGAACTACAATATCTTTGTGATAGAGCAATTAATAAACTAAGACTATCAAAAAATAATAATTTGAAAGTAGTTAAAGAAGTACAGAAGAGCAAAAGCAAGAGACAAGAAAGCAAAATAGTTCTAATAGCTAGAAGAAAAGGTGATTGAAAGCAATAAAACAAGAACAATTAAGAGAAGATATCAAAAAGATGATCCAAACAGTTTAAGTATAAGAGCAACTCTAAAAGAAATAAAAACAGATAAAAGATGCAAAGAATGGATTCTTATAGAAAAAGATAAAAACAAAATAGACTTGGAAGAATAATTGATAAATATAGCAAAGAGAAGAAAATGTATGATATAGAACACTAGATAAAAGCAGAAGCTGATAGAAGTAACAAATATGAAATACAATAGTACAAAGGATGCAGCAGAAGCAAAAACTAAGTGCAAAAAAGAATATACATATTTACAAAAAGATTCCAAAGCAACAAAAGATCACTGAAGAAAGACTGAATCAAGAAAGTAACAGATAATAGTAAAATATACGAGGTAGAACGTAAGCTATAGATACTAAGCTGGAAGAAAGAAACAAGAAAAGAAGAGACAGAAAACTATCAAGGCCAAAAAATAGAAGACAAGATCATTGTAGAAACATTAACAGAAGAAATAATCAAAGATCAAGTAGAAGAAAGAGAAGTACAAGAAAAACTGCTAGCAGCTGCACAAGAATTACAGAATATTGAGAAATTGACTTCTATACAGACAATTTACTATATAATGAAAAAGAAACACTATAAAAAGTCAAAATAGAAGCAGGATGGACAGCAATAATAAAGCATGTAGAAATAGAAGAAGAAGAGAAAGCAAGATTCAGCTGTGCTTTCAAGGACTGGCCTTAATTAACCTGAGCAGAACTAGAAGCAATATGGACAGCATTTCTGGTTGCTTCTGAAGAAACAGAAGGCATAATATATACAGAAAATCTGGTGGCTATACAATTTCTGAAAAGAAAAGAAGTCTGGAAAAAAGAAAGAAAAGCATTAAAAATCAAGAATACAAGTATTTTATAGCAAATTAAGAAATTATGGAAAACTAAAGGTTTAAAAGTGAAGCTGAAAAAGATGAAAAAGCATAGTGAAAATACTTATTATGATATTGCAGACAAACTGGCTAAAGAAGGGGCAAGAAATTAGAAAATAGCAATAGTGAAGTAGTTCTGAACCCAATATTTACAAATATCAGCAAAATGGAGAGATATAACTATAAATAGCCTAATAAGAGAAGTAGTGAATAAAATTATAATAACAGCATTAGATAGATTTAGATAGGAATAGTAGATAGTTAGATAGAAGCAAAGAGGAGGAACTCGATTGGAGAGAAACTTGGAAATAGATAGACAGAGATAAAGATAAAAACTATATAAGTGGAAAAAAGAACAAAAATTAAATATTTCAGATTAAATGCTTAGGTGACCTACTGCTAACCTTGATGGAGCTAAGCAAAAGAAGACCAGATATATATATTAAATATATGTATAGTATATAAAAATGAATATTTTATAGAATAGGTAGGTAATATAAGAAATAAGCTTTACTAATAATTAGTAATCATTAATTTTTAATTGCGTAGTTGCAGAGTTTGCAGAGTTTGTCTACCTATTCTATAAAACATCTGTAAAACAAAGAAGAAAACCTAGATTACCTCACTGATTGTGAAGATTATCAAGGTATATAGAATATCATTGAAGACAAAGCAAGCAAAGAAGGTTTTCAAGTATTATAGTGAAAAGAACAAGAAGGAAGACTTATAAACAAAAAAGATGTTAAGAATCTTTCTTTAGAGAATCTCAAAACAAAAGAATAGAAATAAGAAGGTATTTGATCAGAGGCCTTATACTCAAAAGAAAGAAAGAAGAAATTAGAAGAGAAATAGAAGATGATAATGTACTACAAAAAGTGCTTGATGCAATCAAGACAAGATTTGATAAAAGGTTTCAAGAGTATATATGGAACTTCAGATGTAAATTAGTTAATGATTAGAAAAAAGAACACAGAATTACAAACAAAGCTAAAAGAAAAAAATGATACAAGAAGAAGAAGAAACCTGTGCAGAATTCTAAAAACAAAAAGAACAGAATATTAAAAAAAAAACACTGGCCAAGGAAGAAAAAGAAAGATGAATCTTTAAGCAGATACAAAAAAATAATCAAAATCTTTTTCAACATCATATCAAGCCAGACTGGTCCTCCTGGATTAACATTAAAAAGAAAAAAGGCAGTACTAACAAGGTCAGCTTATGATTAGAAGAAACAAATTTTCAGAAAGTTGAGGATCTAACATGAAGCAAATTAGCTACTTAAATAGGTTACACCTGGGCATTTAATGCCAAATAAGTTTTTATTAGTACAGGAATTTAGTATAGAATTGTATATTTGTAACAAATATAAAATTTTGATACTTCTGATTAAAATAATAAAGGCTAAATCACTAAAAAAAATAAAAAATAAATCAAAAATAAGAATATATTTAGCTATACATGCAATTTTTGGTTACCTATTTAAATAGTCTATTCAAAGATTCTATATTATATACCATACTTGTAATCTAACTAGGAGATTACCTATTTAAACTCTCTGATATTCTCTATTCTGCACCACTGCTTCAATTAAAACCATCCAAATCGACATGTGCTATACTACTTGTGTTCTAATTCTATAGATAACCTAATAGAGTTCTCATACTACCAGATTATCCTAGTTAGGTGTAGTATATGATATATGTGTAAACATAAACTACTTTAGTATGTTTAGATAGATAAATCTTTGTAGTTTGTAAGTTAATGTATATATAATTATAACTAGTGTATATAAGATATATATTAATAATAAAAACCAAAGATATAACCTCACCTTAATATAAAACAAAAATATATATATATTTTTTTTTATAACAAAAATAACATTTTTATCAATAATTTTGTCAAATTGCTATCTATGCCTCAAAGGCACTAAGCAAAAATATTCAAACTCCCAAAACCCTAACCCTAACTTTTATATTTGGCCTCTATTTTTTTAAAAAACTACACTAATTTAATAAGATTATTATTATTATTATTATTTTGAATCTTAAGGTGAGGCCATGCCTCTAACTTTATTGAAACTCAATTGAACTTCTTTACAAAAGAATTTACAAAAAAGAAACTACGTATAAACTTCATATCCAATTGTTATTAAAATTTAAAGTTTAGCTTTATAAATCTTGATATAATAAACTAAAAATTTTAGATAATAGATTTTAAAACTTAATAACTATTTGATTAAATTCAATCAAATTTTTATTATAAAAATACTTAATTTTTAAATTCATATATAAACCTTTATTTAAAAATTTCAGTAAAATTTTTATTATAACAAATAACAAAAAAGAGGGATACTTTTGACGGGCAATGTAAAGATGCACAAAAAGTAATTTGCATAGGACTGTTTTTTGGGCATACGAACTAAGAGTTTCATTAAAAATAGCACCTATAGTTATTCACTTTTTGATTCTGGATTTCGAGAGACATGCAATCATGGTATCAGTTATGAATAAAACTTTTATTGCACAACTGAAATAAAGATCTGCGATTTGATATGGAGGACCTTATATGGAGCTATCTTACATCAAATCTTACAAAATTGACTCGAGTCGTTGAAGATAGCTCAAAAATTTTTTTCTGATAAGACTATACTAAGTTTGGACATGAATACTAACTATATATATAGTTTAAGTTAAATGGATGTCAACTAACTAAAACAGACAAACTAATTAACATATCTACAGATTTTGGATTATAAACTATTTCCGATTGCTTTATTTATCTAGCTTTGCGTACTATATACAATAAAACACTGATTGTGTATAGCTATCAATAAAATCAAAAAATTCTTGTAATACCCGATCTAATCGAAAAAATGAAGTTTATTGATAGATGAAATGCCCCTGAACACATTCGCATATGAAGAGTGTACAAATTTTAGATCTTTGAAGATCAATATAAATAATTATACCACAGAAACTGTGGTATTTCTTTCAACATAAAAGATACACTCCAAATAACTCTAAAATCTCATTGAAACATCAGTAGCTGTAATAATACCTTAAATTCAAAAAAAGCACAAAGAAATACAGACATCTCATAAAATATGAAATTTGGTTTCAAATTCTCACGTTTATGGTCGCATGATTTTAACCGTCTGTGAACGCCATCGCTTGAACGTGAAGATCGGGTTATCAAACTTTTCTCCATTATCACATTGCCGATCTAAATCATAACAAATTACTTATATTCAATTAAGAAAGACACTAGATAAAAATTATCTCCGTTAACAACATTTATTATCACTTCTAGATGATGGAAAAGCAGGGATTGCTTGTTCAGAAACTTCAGATGAGTGTGCCGCCTTGAACCTATTAAATGCAGCTTGGATAATTCTACGTGTAGTCTATAAAATGTCAATCAAAGGATATATGGTCAATATAAGATTGTAAATAATTATGTCTCCATTTGATTAATTATTCATACCGATGGTCTTTTTTCATGACGATTATTTGCATTAGCACCCTTTAAAAATCGTGGAGATATGACGGTTACTCTATTTTGTGGTCCAACTTCGACCATTCTTTGCGAACACAAAGGTGATCCAAATGTAGGTCGGAAGGCTTCATATTCTGGGAGTTCTAAATAAAATATTACTCATTATCACAGTTTTTGCTCTGAATTAACATTTCAATTGAATTATATGTTAAATAAAAGTGCTTACCAGTTTTACGAGCACTTAATTCTTCTGGATGGCCTAATCTCAGTTTGAGATACGCACCTTTGACATTGCTAATATATCTGCACGGTTCTTTTCTAGGTGGTGTAGGCCAATCACCTTTTGCTAACGATGAAATAGATGTGTATCTTGCAACGAATTGTGGGTTATTAACAGCAGGTAAATTTGCTGCAAAAGGTAAAGTACGAAGACCCTTGTCAACTTTGTATGACATTTTGAAGTATGTTGATGCTTTTTGTTGCTGTAAATGTTCCAATTGTTCATTCGATGCAATTTTCGATATGTTTGGCACATTATCAGTTAAATCCTCTCCATGAAGTGGTGGATGAACCGTTGTTTCATCGGGCGAATTCGAATGTCCAACAAATTTTTCGTGCCTTTTTTTTGCTTTAATAATCATAGAAGATTCTAATTCTTGAATATCTTTTTTAATTGCCATAAGTCTAATCAAGAAAATAAAAATTAGTAATCCACTTAACTTTCATTTGCTTATACCTTTCTATTAATTTGAATTCATGAATTGTACGCTTGTTGGATATAAAACTTACTTTGCTTTAATATCTTTTCGAGTTTCTGCAAAAAGCCACATCACAAAGTCCGGTCCACAATCAAGGATTAATGTCAATATAAATGTAATGATAGTAATCGATGCGAAATATTTGTACATATAGTCATATCCTGCTTGTACAGCTAATGTAAATCCTGGGATATAGGTGTAGTAACCGTAACCGATGAAACGATACAAGAGATGAAAATATACAGCAAAAATAATAACGTTTGGAATATCACTAATTTTTATTCTCGCCATTTTTTTCAAAAAAAAAAAAGTAGAACGAGGATAATTATTAACGGATGGATGTTATATATTATTCCCAGAGGACAATGAACACTCAATTTAATAAAAATGGAAGACTTGTTGATCGAACTGCAATTATTTAAAAAACCAGTAAAAAAAAGTCCTATTTATACAAATACGGTTCATCAATCGAAAAATCAAAACAATCGCGTCAAGTAATCATGCTACAGATTTACCTATTGTGGAAACCTAAAACGCGTCAATGTGGCTAATCTCTTTTTTTTTTATATTCATCCTGTAATATGTCTCGTGATAAAATAAGGGGGAATCGCCCCTTCTTGACGATAATGTAACGTTTTATTCTAGTAACACAATAATAATCTACATTGTTGCTTATCTTTATAGAAGTTAGATTTTTTGTATTATTGTACAGTATATCTTATTTAAGTTGTAAGTATTAATAAATAATCAGCAAAGAAATTTGTTAAATTTAGCATATTGTTATATAACAGGTTAATATTTAAAAAAAAAAATAAAATAAAATAATTATATAGTTAGCAAATATATATACAAAGTTATATACTAAAAATTTTTAATTAAAAATCTCTAAAAAAAAATTTTTATATTATTGTTATACAAGATTCTGTAATCTAATTGGTTAACTATATTATTGTTATACAAGATTTTGTAATCTAATTGGTTAAATATATTAATTTATAATATAGCATCTATTCTATTTAATAAAACTTTAATATAGTTAAACTTTTCTAAATATAATCTTTTTAAATACAATTTCAAAATTAAAATAAAAAAATTGAAAAAGGGTGTGGTGACTTAGAGTAGTAGTTAAGTTGTCACCCCCAAGCAGCAGGTCTAGAGTTTGAATCCCACCAGAGACGATTTTAGAAAAATAGGTCTGTGTTCCGGTAACAATTATTCAACGATCGGTTAGGTATATTACCTATAATCTTGGTACTACTATCTCGAAATAGAAGCTCTTAGGTGATCCAAATTCAAGGAACCGGAATAATTGAAACCTGTTTGGCAAGACCCAAGTAAGGAGGTAGTGAAGATCTTCGACGATATTGCAGAAAGTCAGAAACCGGAGACCGAAGAATTAGACAAAAACCCTGGGGCAAGAAGGGTCCACCAACCTGGCCGCCAGAGTCGCACCAGAGGAAAAGGTCCTATGCTACGGAATTAGAAACCAAGGGAAGTAAAACCAGAAGGCACTTAAAGCCTAGGTACAACGACCCGTCCGGGCTAACTGGTTTGGTAGTTG